TTTGTATCATTATTGATTACATATGAATTTCGAGGATCAATATTTCTTTTAAAGCTGTAACCACCATCGCTATAATATGTAGTTCTTTTATTTAAGTCTTTAATTCCATTATCATTTTTACTATTTAATTTATCTAACTTTGACTCATCTAAGCTCTTACTGTAAAAATCATAATCTTTTAAAGTATCCAAACTGGAACAGTTAAGCTCGTTATCATCAAGTTTTCTGGTTAAGTTTTGATTTGCTATATCGCTTTTTGTCATTATGGTTGTTTGAAATTTGGTAACTATTCCAGGTGATTGAGTAGGTGTTTTTCCATCTTCGCTAGAATCACTGGAACTGAAATTTTTATTGTCTTCTATACAGTTATTCATTATTTTGTATCTATTATTCCGATACCTCGGAATTTCTTCTACATGAAAATCTTCCTAAAAATATGAAAAAAATATATAATTTAATATTTCCTTATTTTAAGGAAAATATTAATTTAAAAGTATACCTCTTTATAACTACTAGCATCTGTTTCATTAGCAAGATCCATGTCACTATCAAAAGCAACTCCACTATCACCTGGAGAAGCCAAACTTGAAGAAACACTGGATGATCTGAGATGTAATGATAATATAGTTCCAGAAGGATTTACACTCATAGGTCTTTGAGGCATGTAATTACAAATATCCAGATATGTGACATCCTATATTAAAATAATTAAAATTTATTTTAATATAAAATAATAAGATCAATGACTTAAAATTAAATTTGATGTAAATTTTAATAAATAAAATATAATTAATAATTCTATAAAAGTATAATTTTTAAGGATAATTTTATAGCTATACATAATATATGCTTCATCAATATCTTTCTTATTATTCTGAACAACTTTCAAGTGAATTTAAAATGAAACAAGCATTGTAACTACATGAAACTATATTTTTACATATATGATTTCATATATTCTGCTTTTTATGTGAATTCTTAAAATATATCAAAATATATCAATACTCTACTTTTTTTGATCTCTTTCATTTGATTATTTAATATCATATGTTTTTACTATCTTTTATTTTTGTATTAATTTAATACAAAAATTAATACAATAAATAAAATTAATATTATATATTATATTTTGAATAATTCTTTATATTTTTTCATAATATAAATATTGATTGGTAAATATATCTCTAAATTTTTATGCAAAGGATTCCATAAACAAGAAACAGTATATATAATAAAAAAAAAATAGATTCATATGATAACTTATTGTTTTTAAATTCATAAAAACGAATTCATCTCTTTTTAAATATCAAACATAATTTATTATTAAGATAATTGTAACTATGGAATGATACACACTGATATCAATTGAGAAAATAAAAATTATAAAACATATTTATATAAAACATATTTACATTTTTATATTAATTATAAAATGTTGATGATTATACAAAATAATATACATATTGATTTTTATATTTTATGTGTGTGTATAAAATGTAAAATGCAAAATATAAATACTAATATAAAATATATGAAATATTAATATTTGATACACCTAATAGAAAAATAATATTATAATAAATATTAATAAAATCTTATTAATATTTCATATAATAATTCTACATACCAGTTGCAATGTGAAAGACACATTTTCTAAACCAGCAAGAAGATTAACTAATTGATTAGTTTTATCTGCATCTCGAACAAGTGCATGTGGAAAATATTGTTTTTTTAATGTTTTTGTATCTCGTAATAAACAAGCTAAATAACTTTCAAAGCTGCCTTCACTAAGAGTATGATAAAGCCATGCCCTGCCTAAAAAATATAAAGATGCATTATAATTTTTTTTTATAAACATTAAAATTTATAATGTTAAATATTTTTACCTTTTCCAATGGAAGTTAACACACTTTGAAGAGCATGAATTACAACAACAGTATCTTGATGACTAAGTTCACGAGCTGTGCCCCAATATCCATGTCTTTCTACGCGTAATCCATGGCGTAAAGCTCTATCTAACCAGTAGACCAACCAAGAATCACCATCTAAGACTACTGTGCCATATAAACTTTGAGCATAAACCTAATAAATACAAATAAAAATATCATGTTTATTAAATTATAAAACTTACATAATTTTATTGAGTAATTTTCAATATTAATAATTCTAATATGTAAATTTAATTAAATATGTTATTTATATTTATATTGTAAATTAAATTTTTGTTAATATATGAAAAATTATTTTTCGGATGAAGATATTTAGTCTAAAAAGTAATTAGATATTTTAGTAATTACTTCTCATAGAGAAATATAACATATTTATATTTCTTAATAATTATTATGAATATTAAGCAAAAAAATAAAATATTAAACGTCCAATAATTACGATATTAATAATAATGAATAATCAAAATTAAAGTGTTGAAATTTTATTGTTTTGTGAAAATATGAAATAATTCATAAGATGACAATTTCAAGATTCATCGATCCCCCCAAGGATCTCACAGAATAATAATGAATTAATATAATTGACTGACAATTATACGAACAAAGAGGTAAAGGCACGTACGTCAGTGGAGGAGTCACGACGTGGAACAAGATGTTGAGTAAGTTGCAAGTGAGAAACGGGAAATCGTGATGACGAGAGGAGCACATGTACTTCTTCAACACAGGTTCGCGCGTTCAAAAACAATAAAGATAATAAAACTCATTTAACTGTTAAATGTTTGACGCACAACCGAGCATGTAAGTGCATGTCACTTCAGTTTCAGCTGTTTCGTCATGGTTAAGTATTTTAAGAAAGTCGTTTTTTATCTGCGAGGAAAAAGGAATGAAAATCTATCTCAGTCATTTAAGAAGAATTTCATAGGAGAGTAGAACGTCAATAGTTCGATATATATCAAAATTCGAGAAAGGAAAGTACATATATATATATGTATACAGACGACGTATGGCCTTGATACGTCTTTTCCACATTGAAGTAGACAGCACTCACCAATTTGACAGCTTTGGTTAATTCTTGAAGTATTCTTCCCTTGGACAGTACCTTATCGGTACAAAGGTCCATATCTTCTTGACTCGGCATATCGATCTCTAATCTTACATGATTCTCATCATAAGATAACACGAATTTCAAAGGAAAAGAAAGAAAATGTCGAAGCCGAGGAAGACGAAACGGCTTCAACGCAACGTTGGTGAAGTCACACTGACACATTCGCCGGGTAGAGTCATTGATTTTAGCTAAGCGCAGGCCAGGCGCCAATATCAAACTTCTCTTTATAATTGTCTTTCCTTTATTTTTTTTTATTATTTGCGATACCCTTACTGGATTTGTATTAACTATCAAACCGATTAAAGATAATAGAATTTAAACATTCATTTGGATAAACATTCTTAACAAGTAACATATACAATTCTCAATTTTTCTTTATTGTATATTTCAATATAAATTATTTAATTAGAATCAAGATTCTATTCATTTATATTAAATTAATATTATTTATTAATAATATAAATTATAATTTTATGTATAATTAATTTTAGATCAAAAAAATTATTACAATATCAAGAAATTCATATAATATATATATATATTATAAAAAAATATGAAAAAAATAATTGATATTATTAATTAAAATTATTTTGATATTAAATGTTTTTTAAAAAGTAAAAAGATTGATTAAATTTTTTTATCAAATTTAGTAACAAATTGTTTTTTAATCTTTTTTTATAATTAATATTAAAATGTTATATATACTCCGATTTTTGTTAATATTTTAAATATTCTAAAATAACTTGCATATATATTTATTTAATAATAATTATCATATAACTTATCTATATAAGTTATCTATGTTATGTATTTCACTTAAATAGTAGATAATTTATTGTGCACGTAAATAAAATATTTTTTTGTATGATAAATAGTATGATTTTAATGGATCAATGAAATTTGTCATGGTAGGTTAAAGGGTATATGCATAACATGCATAATTATCATTTTCTTATATTATAAGCTTTTTTTAAATATATTGTAATTGCCTGTTGTCGATTTATGCTATTTTTAAGTTTGATGTATCGACAATTTTTAAAAAAAAAATGTCGATAATATCTATCAAATGTATAATTATTTAAAAAAAATAATTGAAATATATGATAAATACATTATAAAATGATTGCATTAGTTACATTAGTAGTTACATCATTTATTTAATATCCAAAATATTTAATATCTAAAATTATAAAATTTCAATCTTTATTTTAAAAAAGATATGTTTTCTGTAAATAATTTCTAATAATTTTCAAATTGCAAATAAATTTTAAGATAAATTCAAAAATAATTTATAATATGAGAAAATTTCTTACTTTATTAAATTTTAGAGATTTTATTTTTAGATATAATATATTTTTATATAATGTATTAAAAAAAAAATATGTAAAAATATAATATAATATGAGATGTTATAGAGTGATACTTTTTTTTTATTTTTTTCGTATTTAGATTACATACGCATAGATATATAGATAAAAGTTAAAAAAGTAATATCTAATATGATCAACAGTTAAGTAAAAAAATTTATTCTATAAGAAATAGAATTTTCTATGATCAATAAAATTTTCTTAAATCTTATTAATAAAATAACTATGTATATGAATTTTAATATCTTATTTATTTATATTTTTTTATTGTATTATTTATATCATATGAAATGTAAAAAATATATTTTTTTATTAAAATTTATTTATATATGTATATACATATAGTGTATATATATATATATATATCTTGTATAACAAATTAACTTATAAAGTATTCCTATAATATATAAGTTATTCTAATAATTTCTATTTGCAAAGAATACAATAAAAGTAAACAATTTTGCATTTCATGTAAATAATTATTTTAAACATAAAAATTATTAAAAACATATTCTAAAATATTTTTCCCCTATTAATTGAATTTCCCCTAAACGGTACATTCGATTTATATCTTATTCATAGTAATTTGTGTTTCATGCAATTTCAGTACTTACGAAATGTTGCGTACTATTATATAGAAGTGTAAAGAATATTCAGATGTAAAGTGCAAATGTAACTTTTAATATAATTTATAAAAATATTATTTAATATTATTAAATAAAATTTTCTTTTTATGTACCGTTATGTCTAATTTTCCCGCAATACGTTTATCATCACAAAGAATTGTGGCGCCAAAGCAATATACGCGTAATATTGGTTTTAATAATTATACATATTTGAAACGATATTTTAAAGAATTATTGAAAAATTTTTCATTATTGTGATAATTTATTGTCACTTCAAGATTATTTTATTTTTGAGATGCATTATATAGTTTTTACACATCGTTTTATTTTTGTACGTAAGAATTTTCATTTCACTGTATTATTTATTGTTATATTTTATTATTATTATATTTTATTTGTAATTCTCTTAGTTAAAGAATTATGTCGGATCCCGGATTGTCGCTTGACGAGGAAACACTCTCCCCAGATATCTTCAACGATGTAGATAATATGACAAATAATCCTGTAAATTCTGATGATTGTAAGATATTAATTAAAC